TTACTTCATAGTATGACATCAAAAAATATTATAGTGAGTAATAGAATAAGCAGCATTTCATTCCTCACACATCTGAGAACAGATGCCTGCTTCTTTCATTGTTAAGCACTCACAGCAGTTAGAATTTTAACCTATGCTTGTTAAAAATTTTTCCAATTCATGAGTTTAAATAATTTATTTCAGTTAAAAAAAATCACACAGATCTATATGAAAACCTTGAAACTTCACATTGCATTGTCTTTGGTTTTCTGCTAGACTTTGGTTCAACCAAGTCAGCACCGTTTCATCCTATTATGTATAATTTATATTAGTCCATATATAATCAAACTGAATTAGTATTTACAGTAAAAACTTAAAATATTTTCCAGTATTGATGTATTTCCTTAGATCTTTCATGTCCAGTCTCTTTATAAGAAATTTCTAACTAATTGAGGTGTAGCATATGGACACAGGACCTAACTTCCCTACCCTAAAATCCCCAGTGTAGACAAACATGTAGTCTAATATTCTTGCCAAACTTGGCCATATTTCTACTGAAATGGAGCAGAACTGAATATTGGGTTGAATGAAAGGAGTATGAATCAAGGCACAGGGGTTAGAAGCGTCATACATGTATCTGAGTTTCACAGCTCTCATCCCTTGTATCCAGATCTTGTCATAAAAGAACCTAAGAGTAATGGCTGGGATCTTTAAAACGTGATGGGATGAATTCGATGTTCTGATACATTCAACAGTCAAGAGCTATCCTCAGCTTCCAATAATTCTCTCCGTTTCTCTCAAAAGTCTATTAACAGCCTTTCCTATATACTTACTGACTCCACTTCTCTGGTTACACCACAGGTTCTTACTAGCTCAGGGGTATTTGGAACTAACTGAATATTCCTAATACGCGTCTTGGCCCAGCTTCTATATTCTGCTGGGCTAGAAAGCTATGGCAACATCATTAAAAGTAACTTAATTTTTATGCTGTGTACCATTCTGCCTTTTACCACACCAATAATGTTCATGTTTAAGGCTCTCAAAATATATTTGAATGTATAGGTTAACAGCAAAACATAATTTTTAAATAGAGCTATGTATCTACTAGAAATTTCCATTCACATGTGGGTGCTTCAAGACAATTCAAAAGAAGCAAACTTTAAAATAGTATGCAATTCTCGCAACTGATGCTCAAAATATTTTGTTGGATAATCTTGATCATGAGTCTAGGAATGAAATAGTTAAAAACTTTTCTATAATTTTTCTGTAATCTGTATCAGACAATTATTAGTTTTCTCAGATACGAATGGCTAAAATGTTTTTAATATTTTATATTTTTTGCATATTTTAAATTAAATTGAAAAACTTA